CCGCCATCCCTCCATCCAGTCTGACGCAATGGAAACAACACGAGCAGCTTCCCCACTTCCGATCATTAAACAAGTGGGCAGAGCTTTTAGTGGCAGATGGCCGCAGTTTTTGAAAGAATGAAAGACATTTGCACAAGTGATGCGCGCGGCATCACCGTGGTGGCCGAGGTGGGACCTGAGAGAGTGGAATTGAGGGGCCATCCATTCAGTACGCACGCATGGAGGGGGGAGGGGGGAGGGGTTAACCCAAATGTGTAGCTTGCGTATGGGGGGGGGGGGTCTACTGACAATGTACGCATAGGAAACGGGGAAGGGTGTGAGTCAGATAGTCCGGCCGTGGACTATCTGTTTGCTTAAACACGTTAATATTATTAATCCTTGATCGCTTCCGCGTGGATTAAATATCGGCCGTTCTTTCGGATTCGGTGGGGGGGGGGGGGAGTCAAGCGTACGCACGCAGGTGGGGGGGGGGGGTAAAAAGTACGCGTGCGTATAGGGAGGGGGTGGGATGGGTCAAGTTTTTGACAGATTTCTGCGTGCCTACTCAATGGATGGCCCCTGAGTGGGTGGTGGAGGGTGAACGCAACGGTCACCGACAACCCCGCCCCCCCCCATCGCCTCCGCGTGTGATCATCAATCCCTCGTGCTCGTCGAATTCTGGTGAAGGCCGCGATCGACGGAAACGAACATCTCGCCTCAGCATTGTCCGGCCACCAGAGGTGGATCTAGAAACTTCCCAGGGAGTGGGTTGAGGGGGGGGGGGGTCGTGGGTGGAGGGCGAACAGGGGGGGGGGGCTAGTCTCGAAATTTTAAGACGTTTTAAAAATAGGCCTCTTCATTATTTTGTTGCATCAACCCATAGAGAACCCATCGCTATGAAAAATAAAAATAAAACACGGCTGTCATTTTCATGCTCTTCTCGCAATCCTCCTGTACTCGGAGCACTCAGACTTAATCTGATTCTTTTTCCGTAATAAAATGCCAAGGTGATGTGTAGTGTTGGGGGGTATTTTTTTACGTGTTCTCTAGCACGTAAATTATATTCTGGTGAAATAAGTAAGTGCATTAAGAGGAGCACAAATTTAAAAGTTGGAGCAATTTTAAACTAACGGTGTCGGTCTTCGCGTTTCATTATTCCCACCGCCTCAGCGCTGTCATCAAGACGACATGACGTCTTACGAACTTCTTCTGCTGTTTCAATTTAAAACATGCATTGATTATTTGTTACACAAAACATTTGATTCAATCTTTATTTGTTGCCTTGGAAGAGGAGCCCAGCGGGCAGGCGGCCAAGAAACTCGAGGCTTAGATTTTTTTTACAGAGTAGTATGATAGATTTGTGTCAGGTAAATATTTCTGGCGTCTCAAGATGCAGGGGCAATTAAAACTAAACGTTAGACTATGCTTTTTATTTTACCAGGTAAGGCCGTTTTCAGAAGCGACCTGGCCACAAATGATAGCTCAATGAAGTGGCTTATCGCGTGGAAATTTATAGCAGCCAAATACTGTAAACGAATGTTGCTTCTAAATGTGGAGGGAAAAACCAGAGGACCCGGAGAAAAATCTGCGTGACCACGGGGTGAGAGAACATGCAAACTCCAAAATACGGCAGGCGTCAGGGTCGGGATCGAACCCACGACTTCCTGTATACCAGGCGAGGGAGTTAACATCTCCTAACCACCGTGATGATTATGAGAGAGAGACACGAAAACTCCGAATATACGGCAGGCATCAGGGTCGGGATCGAACCCACGACCTCCTGTATACCAGGCGAGGTAGTTAACATCTCCTAGCTACCGTGATGATGATGAGAGAGAGACACGAAAACTCCGAATATACGGCAGGCATCAGGGTCGGGATCTAACCCACGACCTCCTGTGTACCAGGCGAGGTAGTTAACATCTCATAGCCACCGTGGTGCCCAATTGCATCCATTGCCCCCACCCACTCCCCCCCCCCTCCTTGGATCCACCACTCCTGGCCACCAAGAACCACTCTTGGCCACAAAACTGCTATAATAATGCATTTTATGTACAGTTAATTCTTTAGTTTGTGACTAAGTTTTTGTTCATTGTTACCGTATTACAATTTTTGCATTAATTGTTTTAAATACTGTACTCACAATTAAATCATTTTTAAAAAATACGTGCACATTTTTTTAAAATAACTAATTTGATTATATAACTATCACGGTGAGGTGTGCAGTTGGCAAAGGCTGGCGTCAAAGGTTTTCTTAAGCACGTACGCGTCCGACGCACGCTCGCGTCTGGATTGTTCCCGTGTCAAGAATACCAGACAGAAGTTTATCTCTCTCCCTCTCCCAAGGTCGCGTTGGATAGAGATGCAGCAGCAGAAAGGAAGTGTCCGTGAAAAGGATCTTATTTAGATAGGATTCAGAAAAATGTGGTTTTGTTTATAAGTAGCTTTGAGATAACAGTCTGGAATCAGGACGTCCAATGAAAGTTGCGTGCGATCTCCACAGCGCCTACCGGCTACGATGCACTTTGATGCGAAAACTAAGACTAAACATGTTCACATACAGTAGACGGAGCTCTAGAGAGTCCCTCTAGTGGGTATTTGGCCTACTTTTCCAGACTTTGCAGACGCCTTCGAAGAGGCGGAGCCTGCATTTAACCCCACAAAATACGCCACCTTAGAATTGTTCAACTTCGAGGTACCCACTATTCTACTCAGCTGGGAAGAACGAACTGTCGGCATCTGGTTTGGAAGTCCAGTGTGCCAACTATTACACCCACGGCAGCATCGATTAAGGGGCCGTCCATAAATGACGTCACGCGATTTTGGACGATTTTTGATCCCTCCCCCCCCTTCGTTACACGGCGTCACAAAAACTCAGATATGACGTCACAAAGCTCTACCCCCCCCACCCCCACCCAAATAATAAAACATGCTTCAAATCGCTTTAAACCATTGTCATTGTAGTGCGTATTTAATGTGGCGCTGCACTCTGATGTTGCAGGAGAAAACATGTATTAAAAGTCTATTTAATTAAGTAGAACGTGTGTCAAAATTGATTTAAAGTTGCGCATTTTTATGTGACGTCACATTTCTCAACCCCCCCCCCCCCTCGTCACACATTGTCACAAATGTCTGACCCCCCCTTCCCCGCCTAGGTGTGTGACGTCATTTATGGTCGGCCCCTAAGTACATCCAAGCACCCCAGTCTACATGACATCCAAACGCATGCCTTCTTTAACACGTCGTAGGCTTATGCGACCAATATCATTCATAATGCCGTTTTTTGGGGGGTTTGACGACACATTTATATATGTATGCGATCTAAACCCCCAAATAAACCTGCATGCCTTCTGATGCACGACTTCTTTGTGGCATCGCTGCGTTTAGTATTCGACTAAATGGGCCGGCGGCGGCATTCGTTGTTCAAATCAGCGATGCACCGTTCCGTCGATCATCCATAATGGAGCTAGGGCCGTGAGAGCAGACGCTTGGACGATGGTTTCGGTCGAACAGAAGGCAGCGACGCGGGGTATTGGCTACGTACGGCGCGGAAGAAGTTCAACCTACGTACTTCCCCGCGAGCCTTCGCGCAAGCGGCGCCTGAGTGGACGAACGCCGCACGCTGAACTTGGCAGGACGAAACACAAATCCCGACGTCGCCCTAATTAGCTTGGCGGCTCTTTTCGTCTGCGCCGCTTTCAATTGAAAAGGCATTTCTTCAGGACTGCTTTTTTGCTGCTTCCATGTTGTTGCCCTTCACCCCGTACGGTTGGCGACGCACGGCGCGAGAGAGGTTCAGCTTGCACGGTACGATACAAACAAACACAAAAATCCCCCACCGTCTTGCATCCCATGCTCACGGGTAGATCGGAAATGCTTTCACAACAAGCGCTTGCTATCCTGGCCGTTTGGGACGTACAGGGGGGAGGGCGGCGTGGAGGGGATGGTTGATTTTGAGATTGTTGTGAGGAGAGACACAGAAACTTAGAGAAGTTTTGTGGTCTCTACCCCCCCACCACCCCCCAACTCTGCCACACGCCAGCCCCGTAGCCATCAGTGGGTGGGGGGCTGTTGGCAGGGCCGTCCATAGTGGGGGGCAGCCACACCTCTCTGCCTTCAAACTAAACTGCAAGTGCAACATCTGACACCGTGACGCCGAAGCGTGCCCCCCCCCCCTCCCTCCCCCCAAAGCGCGGGTGCAGTAGTTTAACACCAGTGCCAATTAAGCAATGGGCCACAGCCTTATAATATACACATCATGTATACATGCAAACAAAAGACATAACTCTGAGTTAATACACGGCCTACGCGGAGGGTGGGGGAGCGGTGCGTGACGTCAGCAGGCACACTGCGTGACGCTGCCGCATGCGGGTAACATCACAGATGAGACGTCACCGCTCACTTGCTGTGCAAAATATATCCATTATTGCGCCCCCCCCCCCCAAAAAAAAATCTATTTTTATAATGTTTTCATTGTGTACAGTCTGGAAGCTACCCACATGCCACGTTTCAAGTTTGTTGCATGTTGGGAAGTATGCTAAACATTTCGAACAGACACACACATTCACAAATTTGAATTTGTTTATATATAGAAGATGACTCATCTGCGAAAGTGGCCCCCCGGTGAAACTTAGTGAAGAACGCTGCTCTAGGCATTGAAGGAAGAGGAGGTCTTGGCATTCAACTAAACTTTTTTTTAGACCAGGTAAGGCCGCTGAGCGATGAAGCTCTTTTCGGACGCGACCTGACTACAAATGATCGCTCAACGAAGCAGCCAAACATTCCGAACGCATTTTTCTAAATCTGGAGGGAAAAACCCCGGAGTAACCCGGAAAAAAAATCCACGCGTCAACGCGGAGAGCGAACATGCAAATTCCAAATATACAGCAGCAGGTGTCGGGGTCTGAATTGAACGCACATCCTCCTGTATACCAGGTGAGGTAGTTCACAGCTCGCCACCGCATTGCCCCCATTGAAGAAGAAGGAGGAGGGAGGGAGGAAGCAAGGAGGCTTCATCGAACCTGGCTCTGTGCAGTTCTTGTCCTCCGTGTCGTTGGCTCGAGGCGGATCGTCGTGCCGGTGGTGGTGCGACGTGGCCCCGAGCAGCCTGCGGCTCCATCGCTTCACTCCGGGATCGGCGCTCGGGACGCGCGTGGCAGCCCTCGTCGCCTCGCCTGCAATTCACGAGCGTCCCGTGTGACAAGTCCGCTCAGCGAGCCACGGTTCCAACAACAACAGCAGCAGCAACAACAACAACAGCAGCAGCATCAAGAAGTAACGGTGACATCACCACGTCGCTTTGTGCCAGGCTAGGTGTGCGCTTGAGACTCTCCCGAGTCCACGCACTCACTCGCGACACTGCGATGATGTTGGGTTTGATAATTGGTATTTACCCTTTTATCTGGCAACATGTTTGCATAGACCACAATACCTGCAGTCATAATGCAAACAAAAACATAACTCTGATAATGTATGCACTGTCCTTGACGTTGATTGGTCCACACCCGATAAAAGGGTAAAAAAGATCTATTATCATATTTTTTACTGGCAAATGAGGTTCCAATGGTGTTGATGTTGGGTTTTTTTTCCTTCTTCGCAGCACCTTTGTTAATCCGTGTTAACTCTTATCTGGTCGCTTGATGCTTTGGGTCTTTGGGTCATGTGCTCAATAATTGTGTGGAGAAAGCCTCCTGCCCCCACCCCCTGCCCCGATGCCCCCCCTCCCCCATCACCAACGACACGGGGAGGTCAACATCCACAAATTCATGGGGATGATCCATGGTGGTGAAGTTGAGACGGGAAGAAGCGATGGGGGTTCCCACGTTAAAGTTGAGGTGGCAGTTATGGAATGATGAATTCAGTTCATGTGCAGGTGCTAGGTGGATCATAACATCGCAGAGAATCATGATAAATGGCAGCAGATTTCTGATTGCCTTTATCCAGCAGTGGTATAATCTTGCCTGCTGCTGCTGTAGCTGATGATGATGATACAGTACAGAGTTTCATCTTTAAAACTCTTCTAGTCCATGAGCCGGAGGGGCTGTTTGGTATAATTTTGGTGGGGAGAATCCCCTCATATATTATCTGAAAACTAAGAATCTGTACTGCATGGAAATGTTGACTGCACTCGTAAAAGATGTTGTTAATTTGCTACTTCACCATCAATTACACAGTACCCTAATTGTATTCCGATTGCACATTGCACGTACGTTTCATATGTAATTGAGGTTTTTTTTTAGTTAGATTGCGTAAATGTATAAATGTGTCGTAGAACCCACCACCACCCGACACAGCCAACTAGTAAGGGTTGTCACGTCAACAGAGTACAGCACGCCGGTGTGTTGGAGAGCCAAGCCACAACATTTACAATCTGAGTGCATATGTATTCACAGTTTCACCCTAATCCATGGAGGGAACGGATACGGCCAAATCACACAGAATGCTATGGGAGTGACGACCATGCCCAAAACACAGGTGCTATAGGCGTTGTGGGCAGTGCAGTCAAATCCATTGTTGTTCTGCACCCCACCCCTACCTTTTCCCACCTTCACTAACCTGCACTAATCACCTGTGGTGAAGTATGGCCAACATAACCTCCACTCAAAAGAAACTCGCCCTATACACGTACACAGGTATATCGCATAAATATTACATTTTCCATGAAGCAATTGTTGCTTGGCGACAGCTTGGCCCACAGGAATTCCTCCCGCCTCAATAATACACGACCTGGGCATTTAAAGCCCGGCATGCATTTTAACAAGGGACAAGGTAGTTAGGGTAAGTGATGTTCCAAATTTGGCTGGGCGCCGTCACACCGTAGCCTGGAGAATACGCCGAGCGTATTGTCAGTGGACTTTCTCCGCGTGTGCAAGTAAGCCCAGAGGCCCAACAGCGCGCACGCGCGCGTGTATGTGTGTGTGCGCGCGCGCGTGCGTTAAGCTCGCCCCTAATGCACTGTATGTACACACGTGCGTTATGTAACCTGCATCCACCCGGCACAAACGCAAGGCTTTTTTAAGCGCGCGCTTGGATGGATGTATTTATTTAAATCGATTTTTTTAAAATAAAATAGCGGCTCTCAAATGTTCACAGCAATCCCCAATAAAATATCCCAATTCCACGCACGTTTTCGCGCTGTATTCTTGCGCGTAAAAAATATATAGTGGAGAAAGACGTGCCTGCATCGTGAATGTCTGCTAATTCCAGTTAAGCTCAACACGCATCCAAGGAAAGGGATTCTCCATCGAGGGGCACTTGCCAGAACTGTAGGTTTTCATTAGGCTTAGTGTCGCTAAATATACTTAAAGGGTATTCCACTTTGCTAACCATAAAAAAAACGATCGTCTTCCCAGAGGCGTTCCTAGGGTCACGGCGAATCGGGGCGACTGCCCCGGGCCCCGTGCTTTGGGGAGGGAGGGGGCCGCGCTTCGGCGTCACGGTGTTATATGTAATGCTTCTGGTTTGGTTTCAAGGCATCGGTGGCGGGGGGCACACGGTGTGAGTTGCCCCGGGCCCTGCACTCCACCCCCCGCCCCTACTCGACATCTGTGGAAAAAAGCTTTATAGCTTATCGGATTCCTCCAGGATAAATAAACATTATGATTCTGGACGGCCTCTGAACCTTCCTTCCTCTCCACCACCCACTCTCCTCCACCACCAGCAACCACCACTACGAGTCTCTCAAGACCCTCCATGAAATGTCAACACGACAATCTTAATCGTCATCAGCATCAGCCACGAAGTCCTTCCCAACGGTGCCGCAAATGCCGTACGGCATTCTGGCTCGTGCGCCACGAGCTGCTTGCTCGCTCTCTTATCGCGTGCCCCTCTCCGCGATGGTCGTGCTCTAGGGGAACCGTTTCCCCCCTTTGCCATTGGCTGTCATTCACCGACCTCGTCCATCAACGATCGATTGATCGTTCATTCGTTCTGGCGTCGTGTCCGGCCCAAGCCCACGTGCGTTTTTTTGTTTTTTTTTTGGACGGGGCGGAGGGGGGGTCAAGATAGCCTTTCGAATAGCACCTGACGTGTTGCACAAGCAGAGCCTGCAGATGATAACTCAGCAGCAAAACGATGTGTGGCTCGTGTGAAGTTTTGTTACTTTTTCTTGCTCGCTGCAGTTGGCCTCGGCGAGGTCACTAGAAGTGCAGTCGATCTCGTCATGAGTAGCATCGAGCCTGGGAAATGCTTCAATAGGCAACTTTTTTTTATTAAAGTGTTGTCATCACGCGTACGCCTCTATTTAAGGAACGAAACAGGTGGACGTCTCCACAAATTTGGCTGTCGCTGATGAAGCTAGTTGTAATTACTGGCGAAACGTCGTACTCAGATTGTAAATGTTGTGGCTTGGCTCTCCAACCCAACGGCGTGCTGTACTCGTGACGAATTGGCACGTTCTGTTTACGTGACAAACCTTACTAATTGGCTGTGTCGAGTGGTGGTGGGTTTAACGACACGTATATATTTACGCGATCTAACCCCCCCCCCCCCCCCCCGTATTATGGTTTAAATAATTTGTTTACCTTTCCTATACTTTGTACTCGTGTCGTGTTTTTGTTTTGTGTTTTTTGTCGTAACGTTCTGATCCGACCCTGCTGTACATCTGTAAGAAAGGGCTTTACAAGCTACACAGGAGTCCCTCCTGCGGTATAAACACTGATTCTGATTCTACGAATGTACGGTGTTGTGGACCGCAGGGATGCGCAGCGAAGCAAAAGCTCCATCGTTGTACTGTGCTCCTATGCTCTCGCGTCTACGACCAGCGCGGCGATGAATGCCTTTCTGGGTCACGTAACCGGTACGCCGATGGTGGGGAAGGCCATCATCCGGCAGTGGATTGACAAAGAAGGGTTCCTGTACAACTGCACGACGTTGAATAGAAAAAAAAATTAGCCCAGCGTTTAAACAAAAACACAAAAAACGGTAACGCCTAAAACACAAAACAAGGGGGTGGCTTTTTTTAGTTTTGCCGGACTTCATTTCGCTTGTATGAAGGGGAAGGATGTTGGCCCGAAAAAAGGGAAACAATGCAGATACCGAAATCAGGTGCAGTCAATGGCTGCGCAATAGCGACAGCAAATTCATTGGGGCAGGAGCGGTGGGTGGGGACCTTCACCACCACCACTACCACGTGTAATTAGGCTTACGCGGGCAAGGCAAGGTGCCTTGGGTTTTAAACTCTGCAGTAATAATATGCAGGCTGCAACAGGCTCACCGGGTACGAATCGCATTAGCGCCTTGCCTGGCTCGGTAGCGCAGTGCTTCGCTGAGCGTGCGCGCTGGCGACGCGGCTGGTTCCAAGTTCGAGTCTCGCGGCTGAATGTATCTTTAACCGCGTGGTTTGTACTTTATTTTGCTCAGTCGGCGTTGGCTGCCGATGTCTTAACGGTGTGTTTTGTTGTTGTATTCATTCCTCTTGCTCAACGCCCCCTCTACCGTTCCCGTTCTGTTCTAATGTGCACCGATGGCTGCTTTATTGAGGAAGATATTGGCACGTGAATTAAAGATTGATTGATTTATTGAACCGGTTCTTGGCACAGCACCCTCCTCCACTCCCCCCCCCCCGCCCTGTCACCTTCACCAATTTAGCACTGACCAGCGTAGTGAAGTATGGGCACACGGCTTCCATAACGGACACCTATTCGTGTACGTATGTTGAACTTCTTTCGCACCGTACGTGGCCATCCGTGCTAATCGGAGGTGCGATACGGCGCGTTTGAGGTCTTCATCCAGCAGCGGGATGGTCGAAAGGCGCCACTAGATTGTTTTATTCACGCTTAGATCGCGACAAAAACAAATATAATACGCGACGCAAATTACAGCCCCCGGGTGAGAGAGATTACGAAAGCCAAACACTCATTTCTACAGTGAATGGAATGGAAGTGGCCAAACATCGCCCCACCCCCCAAATGAACCAGCAGGACTGAGAGACTCGATGTGACTTTGCCGGGCAAAGTAACGGGTCATTATCACCGTGATGGCTAAAAGTACGTGCTGCAATTCTTAACACACGCAAACGGAACGAACTAAAAACAAAAAACAAAAGGCGGTGTGGTAGACATCGGCCGCTATGAACAATGTCCGTTGCCCTTGACTACGACAATTATTTGGATGGCCGTTGATAATAAAACAAAATGATGTTAAACAATCACGTTGGCGTTAGGCATCTCTAAAAATAAACACACTTTCGTACGTAACGCGTCAGCATGTTGGTCTCGCTGGGCTTATTATTGAACAGCATCCGTTCAGTTTAAACAGCGAGCAAACGCAGAGCCGCATCCGACCTTATTTTGTGTCTCATCGGCAGAGCCAGCGGCCTGGCTAAAAACAATCAGCGCTGACGTACGGCGATGGTATTGGCGAGAGCACTCACTCCGAACGACAGGGCCCTGTCAGCGAAAACCAACTCGTGTTGTTCCATTCCGTGCGTGTGTGTGTGCGGACGCACTCGTGATGCGCTATTGTGTTAGGAGGCTGCTGCTGCTACTGGGCAGTTGGAGGCAGTCGCCCTCCAGCAACAACGGAGGGCAGATGAGCGACGCTCACAACAACGAGCGGAGCGCCGGGCGGATAAAATACAGCAAGTTGGCACAGTAGGGGGTACAACTGGGGCATCGACACAATCATCTCAGTCAGCCAACCCATGGCACCCGGGTCTGTCCCGAGAGAGCCTTCGACACTTCACCTGGCCTCAAAAGTGCACCTGGCCTGGCACAGACGCTGTGGTAACGTCACCGTCGCTTCGTAGCGAATGGCGACTATTGGTATTGGATGCGCTATTGTGGAGGGAGAACCTCCGCTCGTGGTTCAAGTGGTCGTTCTCGGCTCGACGCGGCGTTGTCTCCGTCTGCCATTTAGTCCTGGAGACCGGACACAGGCGGCTTCTAACAGCCGGAGTATCCAGACTCTGGACAACACACGTAGACCCCCCACACACACAACCAGCCACGTAATATCAAGGTGGGAGGGGGGGGGGGGCGGCTGTAGGAAGGGGGGGGGGTAATCCCCCCTCCCCATCCCTAGGAAGGCTCATGCCAACGCAATTAAATTGAACACCAGTAGCGGGTTTTAGTCCGCATCTTCTGATATACACCCGCGGTGACCGCTGCAGCACTTTGTGACCTCCGAGTGAAAGAGAGAGAGATACAGATGCTGTCTAAGCGCAACTCGTTAGAGCAGAAAATGTTGAATAGACAGCATCAGCTCGTATCACGCTAACTCATTCCGCGCTTATGATTTGCTAAAAGTTTTTCTATTAGAATTTACTGTCGTCCCACCCACTGATGTTCTTCTCTGTATGCGCCACCCCACGTTGAAACAGAGGCCACGCTCTGCAGAGCTGGCAGCATGGGGGGGGGGGGTGAGTTGGTGAGAATTCATGATCGACAACATCAGATCGTATCGCGACTAGCCGGTCTGTTCGGCGTTGCTTTAAGTTTGTTGAACGTTGGCTGTGCGTGCCCCCTACCCCCGCTCCTTCTCCCCACCCCGCCCGCCGCCCTTCTTAACAAAAAGAAACAATGCCACCCGGGAGGGTTGCGATCGTGCCACCAGGAGCTCGCTCACCTGCGCTCGAGAAGATGTTGGAGGCGTATGACGCCACCATGAGCATCACGCTCATGAAGGCGAGGCGAGGCAGCAGGAACGTCTTCCTCCTGCGGACCCTGGAGAAGCCATGCTCCCAAGGCTTGCTTCTCGGTGCCAAAGCAGAGTACATCGCAAACTAGAGGCGACCTTCACAAAATTAATGATATTAATAAATACTGTATATGAAGCTGACGGAGAGAGCCGCTGGAACGCGTGGGCTTTCTTTTGCGGAGCGCTTTGCCGGCGTCACGGGCAGTGAAGAAAGACCCCCCCTCCCCACCTCAACCTAAAAATTGGCAATTAGCTAATGACGAGAAGGAAAGCGACGATGCGAATTAGCCACGCGGCTTGCTGGGGAAGCGTTTCCATGGACTTCATCTCGTGCCGACTTTAACTTTTGCTCCGTTCCTTTCGCTTCTACTTCAAGCACCTTCCTCGCCGAGGGTGATGCTGCTGCTGCTGCAGCAGACTCCGTGCTGTTATTGCTGCTGCTTCTGCTGCTGCTGCTGCAGATGATGATGATGGAGCCGCTGCTCCCGCAGCTGCTGCTGGTGCCGAAGGTTGAAAACTCTGTGTCCCGCACCCGGCGAATTGAGCGGACGAGCGAGCGAGCGAGCCGGTTGGGCAGCGTGCGCGCAACTGCCTGGCTCGCGTGTTCCCCGCTCGCGTTTCTCGCCCTTTGCGGGGGGCGGGGTGGCGGCGGTGGTGGCGGGGGCGGCGAAAGCGTCGGCTAGGGAGGTGCTCTGGAGGGTAGGGTGGGTGAGTGGGGCTGAAAGCCGCGGGGGGGGGGGGGGGGGGGGCACGGGTGACGCTCTCACGTTCTCCTCGCACTCTCTAGGCGGCTCATCGTCTCATCGGAGCGGTCGGAACACGTGACAAGGAGCACGCCGGCCGTGTCGCTTTTTTATTTTAAATAACGGGATAGAGGCGGCACGCGTGCGCCGGACGCTCCACTCGAGCGCTCGCCCTTTTTTTGTTTCGCATGACGGACACAAGGGCGCGCGGACGTCACGCGGCGCACGGGGAGGCGTGAACGCGCTGTGCTGCCGACTTTGACGGCGACGACGACGATGATGATGACGACGGTGGAATTAGCGTGGCCAGGCTTGTCTCTGGTCGTCAGCTGACGCGTGCGCGAACGAGGTTGGCTCGACATCGATCGGCGCGAGGGAAGCCAGACATGCAGACAGAGGTATTTTACTCCTACTACGACTCCTACTACTCCCGCAATCAGGGCTTACATACAGACAGAGGTATTTTACTCCTACTACGACTCCTACTACTAACCCCGCAATCAGGGCTTACATGCAGACAGAGGTATTTTACTCCTACTACGACTCCTACTACTCCCGCAATCAGGGCTTACGTTCGGCCCGGCGCTGTTCGGGGATACGCACCGGAAAATATCAGCCCGCCCTCGTTCCGGATGTCTGGATAGGTGGAGGACGGTAGACGGCGGTTTTAGGGGTGTTCCAAGATTGTTTCTAATTGTTATTTCATGATAAATTAAGCCCTGCTCAAAACCCTCACTCAGCCTCCGCATAGTCGATGGGAAGTCGCTACTTCTCTGCTGCTGCCCGCTGTGCCAGTCCCCCCCCCCCCTCTTCTCCCCACTGCCCCCCCCGAGCCATCCGTGCTGCCGGCTTCCTGTCCCCCGTGTTCCAAGTCCACGCTCACGACCTTCCCCCTTCTCCTCTGCCGATCGAGAGCGCGCCGACCAACCGGGTGTCTTCAAGCGCGCATCTCTCCGCAGCGTGTTCGGGGTTGGGGTCCCGCGCGCCCTGACACACTGGAGGGGTCGCGGCGGAACGTCCCGCAAGGGCTGGTTAAGTCCTTGATTGCTCTTCACCCGCACCTGCGATTCCCACGGTTTCATATTCTTAGGTTTTTTCGGTAAAGTCACGTGGGTAAAACATTAAAATTAATATTTGTATTAATTTTAATGCTTATTAATTTCAATGTTTTACCCACGTGACTTTACCGAAAAAACCTAAGAATATGAATCCTTGCAGTCACGAAAGCTTCAAATCTAGAATTACCACGGTTGGCTACGTACGGTGCGTAAGAAGTTCAACGTACATACATAGGCGCCGTCCATAGATGACGTCACGCGATTTTGGACATTTTTTTGACCCCCCCCCCCCTCGTCACATGCACGGCATCACAAAAAGTCAGAACCCCCCCTCAAATATGACGTCACAAAGCTCTGCCCCCCCCCCCCCCCCCAAAAAAAAAAACATGCTTCACATCGCTTTAAACTATTGTCATTGTGGTGCGTATTTAATGTGGCGCTGCACTAACATTTATTAAAAAAGTCTATTTCATTAAGTAGAACGTGTTGTCTATATGTATTTAAAGTTGCGCATTTTTATGTGACGTCACATTTCTCACCCCCCCCCCCCCTCCTCGTCACACGTCACAAATGTCTGACCCCCCCCCCCCCCCAGGTGCGTGACGTCATTTATGGACGGCCCCATACGCGATCTTCGCCACTTGTTTCCCGTGGTGCGCACGCGCCGCTACTTTGTGCAGGGATGCGAATGCATTTGGCCACTTATATGAATCCCAGGTGTGTGATGAGATGCGCTCCTGCGTCTGGAACACTCTCCATTCCGATATTAGGAAGCCACTGGAGCAATGCAACTTTTAAATCATGAAATTGAAAACTCATTCCTTTCGAACTGCTTTTTGTCTTTGGGTTGTTGTCACCCCCCCGCCCTCTCCGCACGTCCAATTAGCACGGTTGGCTACGTACGGTGCGAACGAAGTTCAACATACATATACTGTACATACAACATACTGCTGTTAGAGAAGTCGATATGGCGGCGGGTGGCATTAACACAAATATCAGAACGGTCGAGGTGAATGCTTAAACAAAGACGCGCACGGTGATGATGATGTCGTTGATGATGGATTGTGGGTAACGCTTGACTACAATGTATTGACTCTAATAAAACAACGCGTTTTTAAATGTATAGTTATTTATTTTCATCCGGCAGGGATAATCCTCTCTTGTGTCAAAATAAAAGCAACTTCTGAATAAAGCCACAACGACATTAACAAAAAAAAACGACTGCAAACCGTTTTTTCTTTGCAACGCGATACTGCCATCTAGCGGGACTTTTATTTTGAAATTGCATCTCGCAAATTAAACGTTGGGGGGACCTGGGGGGGAGGGGGGCACACCAACGACCGAACGTGCTCTCGTTCAATGGCTCCCGAAACCAGTAATCCGCCGTGGGTCACCTACCTCGCGATTGGCTCCCGGTAATTGAGGCCTGCTCCCCCCACACTTCATCACGGACATAAGGAGCGTTCTTCTGTCACTATAATTCTATGAAATCTACACAACTACCGCGTGGCCACCGACTCGTTCCCGATGCGGATGCCCGTGCGCCGCCGTGTATTTAAAGGTTCCGTCGTCAGCACAATCGTCGGCGTTGATGTCACCTCTGATGAAGTGAGAGAGAAAAAAAAAATTCGCGGCCTCAAAAAATACCTCGATTTATTTTTCCTTCCCCAAATGTGTTGCGGGTGTCTCTCGGTCACATCCCCAAAATAAAATCCACAACGCTCACAGTGCTCGAGAGAGAGACGCTTCATATCAACTCCGCTGCGTCTGGATGCTGTTGTAGGGGACGTTTGATGTACGTCCGCGTGTGGCTTCCTATTTGTGAATGGAAACCGCCAGGCCGTGTGATCCAATTACCCGATGGATTTGCCCGCTCATTCAGTAACAACGGCGCTCGCTGAACATGGAGCACTCCGCCTCGAACGCGTCTAACGCGCAGTCTCTGTCTCGCAAGGACATCTTGGCCGTCTGCACGACCTGGGGCATTTTATTGAGGAGTCGTGTCCACTGATCATCAGAAGGAATGTAAGATGAAGTCATCCGTCAATTCGCTGATGACTGAAGGTGTCCCCACGCCGTGTCGGGCATTGCTATTGTGTGAGAATACTTCACTACGCTGGGCAGCGCTGGTTGGTGAAGGGTCAGGACCCGGGACCGGTTCAGATGCCACTCGTCAATGATGTCAACAGCCGTGGCTCTAAATCAAACGCGGGTGAATCTGGTTCACAGAGCAGTGCGCTAACCACTGCGCCATTGCTTATTCCGCTTAGAATGAATATACATTGTTTAAAACATGACACGTGGTAGGAGAGATCAGAAGAAATTCATTTTGAGACAGGTCTCGAAGTTCAGTCCTATCGAGCTGACGGTAACGGCGTTATTCATTCCGGGGGTTCTCAGTCAAACAAAAGTTAAATTTTCATAGTAATCTCACCTCTGGTTTCCACATGCAGATAAAATGTTGTTTAATTCATCGGCCTACTGGCTCTGCAGACTGGCAGGTCTCCTTCCTTTTGACGGAGTGCCTTGACCCATAGCATCTAATTGTCTCAACAATTCTAATTATTTATTCAGAAACACTTCACTAATTCTCAAGACTCGTTCGCGAGCAGGAGTGTAGTGCATTGCGGCGCTTGGCCATTAACTACATCGTGGCTTTACGAATGGGAAGATAAACCCGCCACACGTTGCGACGGGCTGGCACTCAGCATTGACATCTCCTGCTCGCAATTGCAGCGCCCACACCATCAACGCTGGGGACACGATGGGAAGATCCCTGCTTAGCTTGTGGAAATAATGCGATCGGGCACGTTGTGTGTGATTTGGTAAGAAGACTTGGGTTTATGGGGAACGTCAATGTACGGAGATTATAAAAAAGTATAGTCCTGATAATCAAAGATGCTTTTGGACGTTACATTGTTTGGTGTTCCTGCGTTGACAGTGGTGCACAAGCACAAATAACAAAGAGACCTCAACACTTTCGTTAATAACACTCCCATACGTATGTACGTATGTACGTTGCAATTCTTTCGCACCGTACGTAGCCAACCGTGCTAATCGAAAGGCGTGAGAGGTGATTTCTCGGGTAGTGGCCCCTCCTGCATGATGCATACAGTGTGGGGGGGGGGGGCTCTACAAAGGTAAAGTTCGGGAGAATTTTTTAGTGCGCCCACAAGGCCCTAGGACCCCGATTGACAAGAACCAGTGAGCTATATTGCCCAAGACGACATCTAAAACGCCACCATAATTTGTAAAAATAAAATAAAACAAAGAACTCTCCAAAAAATTTTGCCCACGATAATTTTCATCGATTATACGCATCTACGGGCGCAAGATGAACATTTTAAGTGTTTCAGGTGAGGCTCGAACTCGCAACCTCGACATGTCTCGGGGGGCAGCAGATCACTGCTCGAAAAGTAGCAACTTCATCCTGGGTGACGAACAAATACGGAAGGAAAAGACCCACCACGAATGCAAGGTAACGTAGACACGTGTGTGACACTCAGCTCTGCCATCTTGCTGGACAAGCAGCCTCACGCCTCCCAACATCTAGGCGAGACCCGGATGGTCGGGCACTCATCCATGCAAGCAAGCAAGCCAGCACCTGACCCCAGCACCTGACCCAAGCACGTGACCAAAGCACCTAACACAAGCACGTGACCCAAGCACCTGACCCAAGCTCAACTGCATCCTGGGTGACGAACAAATAAAAGGGGAAACCCCACCACGAATGCAAGGTTACGTAGACATGTGTGTGACACTCAGCTCTGCCACATTCCTGGGTACGCAGCCTCACACCGACCAACAT